CCCCAAAACCCCAAAACCCCAAAACCCCTAGGCGGAGCTTGAGATTGGGTTTACTGCTGAATAAAAATGGAGGCTTAAGATACAGCTCCATACTGGAGAAGGTAGTCAAAGCCAGCAGGGAGGATGAGTGGGAAGAGACAGCCAGCTGAGAGAAGGAGAAGGGACTGAGAAGGACAGAGGAGCAAGACAGGATTTGAGGATTTTTGGGAATATTTGTGCAGAGTTATTATCTATTGTGGCTTGTAAGTAACTCAAATGAGCTTTAAACTCGTCAAATCAATGCGGAAATCTGTGCAGGTGTTTCCACATGAGACCCTCCTTAGCCTACCATTATAAATAGTTGCCGATGTTGTCTCTGCACCAAAAGGGTGCTTACTAATCGCTAGTTGCAAACGGGATTTTAGGATAGTATAAACTCAATGGAAGTAAAGATGGCTGCGGTCCGATCATGCGTGCTTGCTTAATATAATATCTACTATTAAAAAACTCAGTTATTATACAGATGTTGGTGAGGCTACAAGAGCATCTATAGCATAAACTTCCTTGCATGGCTAGTCTGAACTCTTATAATTTTCATATCAGCAAGAAGAGTGGTTTCAAGTATTATTCCTTAACGATTTCGGTGAGTATATTGCTATCTTTTCTTATCAACATATTGTCAATAAAAGTTTTTCGCAGAATTCTTAAAGAGTAAATTCAAAACTGTAATAGTATTGGATTAAGACATCACAATCTATTTCAAAAGCCTATTGATGCTCAAACTCAGTTGAATGGAAGTTCTTGCAGTCTTTAGAACCATTTGGAGCCTATTCATATTTCCATTAAGGAGTTTTCCATTTGCTTTTAATCATATTATGAAGCGAGCCGTAAATGTCTAAACCTCTTTTTATGATATATCATTTTAATCAAGTTTTGAACTATGCTTAAAGTTGTCTTAAAATTTAGAAGCTGGCATTTTCAAAGACAAAGAAATCCCTCATTAAAATAGTAAAATTTGTCTTCTTGGACCGTCACCGTAATAGACTCTTTGTTGCCTATAATGTTTTACTAGTATCCAATGTATGCTAAATGGAATCCTCCATAACTGAATTACAGAGTGGTAAACTATCAACTTTGCTCTTTCAAGCTGGACTTCACAGCCTGAGTCTCTGCCTCAGACTGTCTTTTGAGGTCATTAGAAATCACCATCTTTTTAACTGCCGTACTAGTCATCTTTAGAAAGCTAGATAATTCATGGCTTCAACAGCTGTTTGGGAGCATGCTTCTATAAAAATCTAATATTATTAAAAGCACCTCCCTTGTTTCAGAAAGATCTCTACTCAAGTAAAATATTTGCCAAAAATCTTTATTAAATCACTCGTAGAGATTGAAGTGCTCTTGGAAGAGTTTGAAATTTTGAGCCCATACATTACCACCACAAAATGATCTTCTGTTAGCTATTTAAGTTCAAAGCTAAAAGATTTAATAAAAATTTCTAACATGGATTCATACACAAATCAAAATTTGAAAACTTATGCTTTCAAATCAGTGTGAGGATACTCACGAATTATGAAGGAGCTTGTCACTCTCTATTGCTGCTGCTCACCTATGACAGAGATGGCTCCATACATGCAAGCCTATTGTGTTTGTCAAAACCTGTGATCTTGCCCAGCCCAAGCTGTTGAGGATGCTAACGAGGCCAACATTGACAACAAGTAAGCATCATCATGCATAACTCTTCTTACATAAGCTCAAGTCTAACTTTGATATTTGTGTAGCCTTCAAGCTTATGCTCCCAGCTATGAACAGAAGCAAGCTGAAAAAGTTGTCACTGATATTCAGCAAGATAAGGAGAGCCTGAACTTAATAGATAAGCCTGTAACTCGGAACAAAGACCACTCTCGGATGAACGAGAGTGTAGATTATGAAGAAAGCAAAACTCCTGTTGCCACAAGAGTCTTCAGAAACCGCAGAAGACGTTCTTCAAGACTTGACATCAGAGCCAGGCTCATAAGACTCAGAACAAGGATCCAGAATGGGCGGGTCACTGGATTTCAGAGCTCCAGAAAGAAGACCAGAGGAACTACTGATACAAGCCTAGGAAGGAGGTCTAAATACATTGGAGTATCAAAAAACAACGCCAACTGGCAAGCTCTAATCAACCAAAGGAACACCAAGAAATATATCGGAACTTTTACCGATGAACTCGAAGCTGCCAGGACCTACGACTTATACGCAATGGCAGTTCAGGCCCAGAAAGCCTGCCTGAACTTCAGCTACTCTACTCAAGAAGTGGAGGAGATGGTGGACTATTTCATTGCTTACAAGGCTGTGAACATGGCAGCTTTCGAATCAGTACCAAACTAGATTATGCACCTGATACAATTCTTTCATACTTTGGTGTTCACTTTAAGTTATGGAAACTCCATATTGATTTATGAGCTTTAGTCTTAATTCTCAATCGCTAAATCAAGTGGTGGGGTTTTGGGGTTTTGGGGTTTTGGGGTTTTGGGG